ATAATCTATTTATGAGAGAATCTGTTTGGCTCTTTGTCTTTGATTCTTTTAAAATATACTAGCCATTTGTTTAAAAGCAAATAATGTAATAATAAAGTGGAGGATTGGGGCCAGTGGACAAAGTCTGTTCTGAATAGCATTCCACATATCATAATTTTTATGCATGGCCAAAAAAACCAAAGAACAAAATACAGATACAATTTTAAATATTGATAAAATATAACAGTTTAACAATTTAGAATTATATACCACTTCATAGTGCTTTAAGATAGCACTCTCTAAGCAGTTTACAGAATCAGCATATTGCCCCCAATAATCTGGGTCCTCATTTTACTGACTTCAGAAGGATGGAAGGCTGAGTCAACCTTGAACCGGTCAGGATTGAACTCCAGGCTATGAGCAGAGTTAGCCTGCAATATTGCATTCTAACCATTGTGCCACCACGGCTCCTAAATATTCCAAAAATAAAATAAAATGACTGAAAAGTTCACCTCTCTTGGATAGAGACACAGAGAAACACTTGTTCATAAATGTGACATAAATGCATGCATTCTTCTTTTCTAGGTCCAAATTACATATTTTTAGAAGCGGCATGAAAATTTGAGCAAACTTCTGAATCACTTACAAAGGGCAAAATTCTATCAAGAATAGGAAAAAATGAAGTCTTTTTATATGATTAATGAGATTGTCAGGGGACTGAGAAAGTATAACTTCAGAAATGCTTTATGGAGATATTTGTATCTCAGAAATGCACATTTTTCTTCTTTTGTTTCCTTTTCCCTTTTATTACATTAGACAAAATGAAATCAACAAAGGCGTCCAGTTGCCAAAAGGGCTGTGCTGTCTTTTTTTCCCCTCAGATGGCAGCTGCACAAAAGTGAAGTGAGCTGAGAAGGGCCTCCAAAGTTTTGTGCTATAGAAACAGCCTTGCACTTTAAATGGGGCAAGAAACAGAAGAAGCATTGGCATAGATAGGTTTAGATCTATTTGGAGAAGGAAAAATGCAGAAAAAAAAAGAGTAGTACAAGATTCAAAATCTTTCCGTCATCATCTTAACCAACATATAGAGGTAGTCCTCCGTTTACAACGGTTCATTTAGTGACTGTTCAAAGTTACAACGGCATTGAAAAAAAAGGACTTATGACTGTTTTTCACACTTATGACCGTTGCAGCATTCGTATGACCATGTGATCAAGATTCAGGCACTTGGCAACTGACTCATATTTTATGACGGTTACAGCATTCTGGGATGATTTGAGAATCTTCTGTAACCTTCTGACAAGCAAACTCAATGGAGAAGTCAGATTCACTTAACAACCATGTTGCTAACAACTGCAGTGACTCACTTAACATCTGTGGCAAGAAAGGTCATAAAATGGGATAAAACTCACTTAACAAATGTCTCAACAACATACATTTTGGGCTCAATTGTGGTCGTACGTTGAGGACTACCTGTAACCTATGAGTGCATATGACTTGATTTGCTTTAAAATTTCATTCCAGTTTAACTACTGGGACTTTGAGAATAATCAAAGGGGAGGGGAGGTTATTGGAGATACTGTTAAAATAAATGGAGACGTTAGGCTGGAACCAGTTTAATCTGAATGCAGATTAAACTGGTTCTTCTGAGCGCCATTCAAAATTATTGGTATTATTTGCAAAAGCCCTAAATCAGCCTATCGCAATCTGGTATATTAGATGTCAACCCTTTTGATCCAAAGGCCATACTGTGGTTGAGATTTATTGAAGTTGAAGGCCAAAGCGTTTGCAGGACATCAGGTTGGAGGACAGGATTTTTTAAAAAACATCCTCCAATACATTTCCCCTGGTGACAATCAACAAAGAGATACCTTTATATCCTGTTATCAGAACTATTTCCTAAATTGGGAGTCCTGGTATGTATTTTGGTGGAATACCAATTGCCCCTGCTCTCTCCCCCCCCCCCCATGTTTTTTTCCTTGCTGTGCCCTTGTCTTAGACTGTGATAAGACCTCTTCTGAGGTCTTAATAGATGCTTTCTCCGTATTTTGCCTATTTTGTTTTATGGGTTTATTTCTTTATTGCCCAGTTTTTATCTACTGCCAAATTACGAAAACTGTACTTGGCTTATAGACATAATAAATAAAAAAGCCATTTAGATACTGTCACACCACATAGATTGTAACTAACAGCAGACAAAGTTTTCTGAATGTAGGCACTTACATAACCAACTGCAGGACAAGTCCTGCCAGAGGTGAGGTTTGTGGAAGCACAGAGAAAGGAGTATTTTGAATTTAAAAAAAAAAAAACTTTTGAAGCAAAATCTTCTCAAAAGACTTTAGTGAAAACTGAGTATGCTCACAGGCTGAGACCCCTGAGGGAGAAAAAAATAAAATCATTGGGGAGATGAAAGAGGAATAGAACAGAATATCCTGAAAAAGGGAATGGCTGAAGAGTAACATTTTCTTGATGATTCCACTGATGGTATTTCAGTTAATGATGCATGTTTTCAGGGATGGGGTCAGGTTAGTGGGAGATGGGAGAAGATCAGGAGTGATGGGATCTTCTATAGATTAGTGTTTCTCAACCTTGACAGCTTTAAGATGTGTGGATTTCAGCTTCCAGAATTCATGCTGGCTGGAGAATTCTAAGAATTGAAATCCACACATTTTAAAAGTCCCCAATATTGAGAAACACTGTCTTAGATAGTGAATGCTGGGTGCCAGAGAAAAAAGAACTATTCAACTCCTTGCATGCCCTCAAAGAGCAATTGAAATAACCTTTTTTTTTTCTTTGCTCCTGCAGGGAGTTGCAGAGGCTGAACTGGAAAAAGATATAAACCGAACTTTGAAGATTGTGATCCGATCTAGCAGGAAGGAGGTCAGTCCTCTGCATGAATGGTTTTGTCCCAAAGGGAAAAGAAGGGATCTCAGAGGGTATTGGATACTAAAAGTCTGTAAATAAGTACATTGGTAATGATGTTTTTGGACAAGTTCCACTCTTTAGCTTAGATTCACACAAGTATAGCCAGGCCAGAAATATGTTTTTCAGTTGTCCAGCATAGGAATAAGGAGGAGCAATCTAGAATGCCTGGTGGATTTCTGGTTTTTGTTAAGAGAACATTGAAGGTATTGGTTTCTCCATTTTGAAACAAAAACAATAGTCAAAATGATTTATTCTTTAAATTAATCTTCAAAATAAAAGTGTAAATCAAGATTTTTAAAAAAACCAGAATTTGCTCAGTTTGGAACTAAAAATAGATTTCTAGGCTTAGCATATGTGGGGTGGCATCACGTCTCTTTATCTCCATGTAATACTGTAGTAGTGAGCTCAGGAGAATTTGACATATAGGGTAGTGCTACCTGGCTGCTAATACTGCATGAATTATGCCAATTTGATTTAATTGGCACAATATTATACCAAATGCAAAATTAAGGACTTCCTGAATGAAAATCAGTTTAACCACTGAAATAAAAACTGGCTCAATGTTTCTTTGTAGCTCAGTTATCAGGCTGCTCTGGTTTGCCCTAAGGTTTCTCACATTTCATTCAAAATGCTTTCCTTACAGGATAAAATCGAAGGACCTTCTCTTAGTACAATTGGAGTTAGGAAGCGAGGTAAGACATTGCAACACCCCTGCCCCATCAATGGAGGTTAAATGACAATAATTGCAATTTTAAAAAATAGGATGGGAAAACTCTTAAGAAATCCAGAAATATACAGTAGACTAGTCTGGGAAGTTGAAAAACATCCGAGAAGATGGTAATGGCAAACCACATCCATATTCCAGCCAAGAAAACCCCATGGACACAAGAATTTGACCTGAGAGCATCTTTACCTTTTATTTTAAAAATTATTCTCTTATGACATTGAAAATTGCAGTTGGCAGTGACTTGCGGACAGGTTCCAGGTGTTGCGGTCGCCTTCTTATTTAAATAGCGTTACTTTGCTGAAGCTGCCTCAGAAAGCCAAATTTTTACTCAGAATTGGAGTGTTTCAATCATTTGTATAAGTAGCAGGGCAGTCTGATCCAGTGCTGTGAGAGGGCCCGTGCATTTTGGCTTCTGTTTTTTGCAGGGAAGCCTTTTATCTGTTCTAAGGAGCCAAGCGCATTGGACAGCTCTGCCTGTAAGGCTTTGTGCCGCTGTAGCAGTGCCAGATAGTCTTAAAATGATTCAGGAAGATGATAATGTTGATACTAAGTATGAAGTTTAAACAAGTGAAGGGGTTTATTCTGAAAGAGCTTTCTAGCTTAGTTTTAAGGTCTCAGCATTTGCATCTGAAGCAGCAATACTGCAATACTTTTCATTTCAATCTTTTCTGTGATGCAGGAGGGCTGCTTGTGGGACTTCCTGAAGAGCCACCTCCAACTTCTCTTCTTCCAGAGCCAATCCTCCAATGCTATGTACAACAATATCAAAAATCTGGATTTAGGTAATGCAGCTTTGGGTGTGTTTATTTTGGTTTTACTGGGGTGCTCAATACCCATATTATTTATACTGAAGCAATGATTTGCCTGTTTCATTGCTGGAGACAATGAATGGTGATGGCCGTATATGGGCAAATTTATGTTAAGATACTCTTGCAGCATTCTATTAGATGTTACTGAGAACAAACTATAGGGATTGGTAGACCATCATTCTCAAAAGAGGGGATCTCTGACTTACAACTGTTGAGCTGTGGAGAAGAGGGAGAAGTGGTAGAGAGAAAAAGAACAGGAACTCAAAAGTTCTCATAAATTATTTTCAGCCAGTGTCTTTCAAATTCAGTGGCAGCTGGTTTTAATCCACTCAAGGGATAACTAAAACTCATTGTATGTGCAAATACCACCTTGTTTAAATGTACCTT